GTGAAGATTCAGTAATTTACCACTCTCTTGTATCTATCGCTCTCTCTTTCTCTCATGTGTGTATGCTAACAACACTTATGCAGGCCCACTGACACTGAGGCGAGAATACTGAAAATAAGATCGAATGGGTTCATTGTTTTTGTGCCAAAGTAAGATTATTATGTATTGATGTGTGTTACAGTTCATGTTTATTTCCGGATAATCATATAGAGGATGTTTTCTCCGAGAAAATATTCCTTTGGGGCATATTTTATATCAGAAACTGACTTTTGAGTGGTGGTTCAGATATGGAATAGAAGGACCAGTACACTTGATGGCGAGAGGACAGAAGGAAGGAGGAAAATGGATAGTTGATGAGCAGCAGCAAAAGATTAAAAAGATTGACGGTCAGGATTCTTACGGCGTTCTTCAGACGGTCAGGATCCACATGGAGGTGGTTGAGCCACAGCCAAATAGGCCCAAGCTCCAGCTTACCCTTATCTAGTAAACCTCCTCCAATACTTATAATTATTTTTTTCTTTAAATTATCTAGGCCAAGTCGTAGTTGTTTATGCAGTTAAAAAAACGAATAGGTGAAAAGACCATGTCGACTTTAGCTAGCTCTGTTCTCTACTTATTGCGTCTCCACAGACGCTGCATTTTGAGCAATCAAATTATGTACTCAGTTGGTTTACATTGTTACATGGTTAATATATTTGGAAAAGACTACATGCATTGTGCCTTGCTACAATTTAGCCCTCGAGAGCATTGAAATAATAACTCTTTTAAAACTTTTTCCTTTGTGATGTTTGTATCTCTTTCGTGTCCGTGTTTGCGATATTTGGCACTAAGTGGTTAGAATCATGACATGTCACTAATGACAAGGCTTCGCCCTAAACTAAAAGGGTTCGTTCTTTTGGATAAAACAGTAGACAACCCAGTGAGAGCAATGGCTGCAATCAAACAGTTGTGTCATGTTGGATATTTTAGGGTTAACTACAAAAAATCCCCTAAACTTTGGACCTTTTTGCGCGTTAACTCCTGACCGGAAAAAAGTTGCACTTCATTTCCCTACTAAACCCCTTTTCTTCCTATTTTATTTATTTATTTAATATTAATAAACATACAAATAAAGAGAAAAAAGTTCATCTATCCGTCACCGCCAACCTAGATACCCTTCACCATCTTCAGCCTTCCTGTGTGTTGCCTCTCTACTTCACCGCCCACCATAAACCACCTAAGCTATATGTTCTCCTTTTCTATATCCTCAATTCAATTACATTTCAATTAATTGATGATTGATCAAAGTAATTTTTTTGGTAGAATGATTCGGTGATTAGCAAAGTGTTTCAAGTTCACATCCCAGTTCTGATAATGCTGAATTCCCCGAAATGTTACACTTCCGCCATTAATGGATTGGGCCACGCGATTGTTTCCCATCTTCTTGTTCTTCGAATTGAATGGATTCGTTTCAAACCTTTATGTGGGCATAGTACTCTTCGATTTAGTCCGAGATGCAATTTTCGGATTCGGATTTGAGTCATGATCCGTTAATTCTGAGGACCCGTGGCCGTATTGCCAATTATGGGTAGAATCATCATGTAATGGGTAATCAGAGATTATCGAGAAAGGAGAGAGAAATGGTGGTCAGATGTAAAATAAAAAGAAAAGGAAAATAAAAAGACAAGGAGAAAGGGCAAAAGGAAATGACACAAATATCCCAACTCAAATCATGTGGATGGCACGTGATGTGAATTCCGGCCATTTTTTGCTAAAAATGGACTAAATTGGCAGCCGATGCAACAATTTAACAAGTTTAGGTATAATACGCCCTAGGTTATAATTTTATTTTCTTTTATAGATTCGGGTATATTTAGACTAAAAGATCACTTATACCAGGTATGCATATAATATTATTATTGCGAATGTAGTTTTTATAAGGTAATGTTTTTTCCTAGTCTTTATTGACCAACTTTTTCAAAAAATAGGGTGGTTGAGGAGTTTATTTCATAATTATATAAGATGCATTTTCTACATGCACGTCATAAAAGGACGCTAACATTTCCCATGAGCAATCGTATTTTTTCATTTATATTTTATTCGCGAAACTACGGTTGGAAATCAAAAGAGGTGTGAGGGTGTGCAACTTGTTCTTCTCATAATCTCACACACAACAAAACTCCTTCAGTTTTTTTTTTTTTTTTTCCTCTTTTCCCATGTCTACTTTCCCTCCTTAAAAGTGTTAAATTTATTTACTTGTAGGTAACTTCTCAAAATTGTTCAAAAATAATCTTTTTTTTTCAGTTGTTAATTTTGTTTTTAAATTGTTTTAATTAAATTTGTATTTTTTCTCTTTTCCTATTTAAACTTGCAATTGTAGTTTGAATTCGAATTGTGGTGTATTGTGGAAGATTTTTGGTTCTAGCAATCATAATTTAATTCTATGTTGTTGTAAATTTAAGCAACAAAACAATCAAACCAAGCAAGAAATAAACCAGAAACTTCAGACTCTATGAACTGTTTCAACAGCTCATCCAATAGTTGTAGAAAACACATAAAGTTTGCACATATAAAAATGAAAGCAATAAAATAGTAAATGAGACATCGATTTATAGTGGTTCGATTTGTATTACCTCAAACCTACATCCACTTGCAGAGAGAGAATTTTTTTATTGGAGTCAAGGGGTTACAATTACAAGATCAATGATCCAACACTCAAGCTCACCACAATTAATTACCTAACTGTTACAACTCTCACAGTGTATACCTCACCATCTCTCTTATTTCCCACCCCAATTCTTAGATTCAACCTTAGAGAAGTTCCCTTGATTCCTTAGCCTTCAAGCAACGAGCTAATCTTGCTTATATACATAGCTAATCCTAGCTAAAAGCAAGACTTGGTCCCCAAGCTTCCAACGTGAGTAGCACAAGTGTCATCATCACAAGAGGTGGGCCTCACCTGTTGGATTTCGGGCACGTGTACGCAGCGGAAAACAAAAATTTTATGCGAATTAAACAACTTTAAAGCACATAAACACATGCCCGATAATTGAAAACAATTAATTGCGTACCTTTGCGCTTCCAGCGAAATTAAAACAACATACATTGCGTACCTTTGCGCTTCCAGCGAAATTAAAACAACAACATGCTTAATTACTTAATCGAAATTAAATCAATTAGCATGCTCGCGTTTAAATCAAATAATCATGCTCGCAATAATAAAACCAATTTCATGTAGTCACATAAAATCATACAAGTTTCTTATTAAAACGAACATGGATATATTAATTTAAACGTAACCGAATCGAATGACAATAGATTCGAAACATTACCTCTTGGAGCGTGAGGTAGGCGCACTAAGCAAAGCTAGATTGCCACGGAAACCAATCCGTGCAATCCGGGGCAGAAATGGCAATGATCCGAGCTACGGCGGCGCATGTGATTCACGCGCAGAGAAGATGGCTAGCTGCTCTTCCCACTCCTATTGATCCAACCTGTTTGCTGATCTGAAATTACAGCCTTGCTCCGACTTCAGTATCTCCATGCGTATTTACTGGATGAACAATTCCTTCTGGAAGATGGTAGATTTATGAGTCGTGAAGCTGCTGTCAAAATTTCACGTCCATCGGATGATCGGTTGATTTATGGCAAATTTTCTCGGTGGCCAGCGCAGAAAATCCGAGAGCAGTTTTTCGGAATTGCCTTCTCGCATCTTCGATTCTTCGATCTTCCTCCTCTTGGATTTCACCTCGTATACTTCGATCTACTAAACACGTGGCACTAGACACGTAATAGTCAGAATAACGGAAGAAAAGAAAGAAGGAAAGGAATACCGAAAGAGATCGGCCAACGGGTGGCCGATTCCGGCGAATTTCCGGCGACGGCGCGGTGGTGGTGGCCGTGGGAGAGGGTGGCTGATCGAGAGAGGCAGCGGCTAGGGTTATGAACGTGTGTTCTCTTAGTTGTGTGTATGCAAGACCTATAAATCAAGTATTTATATGTCTTGCATAAAACCCTAACGGGCTTAAGTTGGACCGGGCCCAACAGCTTAAGCTCGTTAGTTCTTTTACTCGCTCGTCTCTCTCAATTCAATGATCGGAAAATTGCAACAATTACATTTTCGGAATCATTATAATA